CTAAGTTGAAGGCTAAACCTGTGCGCTAAGTCACATTATAGGCAGGCCAGGATCATCATGTTATTGGCTCCTGGCCAAAAATGTTTTGTGTTCCCCTGTTAGGCCACCTTTTTTTGAGTGGTCAGTGATTTTTTTTGAAGGCCTATGCAACACCACGTGGCATCATACTAACCACAGTGTTCACATCAATGCAATCAGTGCTTTTTTTTCCAATTGAGGCAAAACAATTGCAAGATCACACATACCTCAGTGAGAATACAGGTTGACAAAAACCCAACAAACAAGGCAAAACTTCCCTGAAGCATATGTCCCTTCTCAACTACTACAGACTGCAGCCTACAGGACAATGGAGTTGGATGTCCAGCACCTCCCAACTCCACCCAATTTTGGCTCCACCAAACTACACCGTGTCCTAACAGCAAGTGAACGTTAAGTCAAAAGTGCACCACATTGCAAAGCCTTCAGGATGTCTACACTGGAAATGTCAAGTGCGCATCAAGTCAAAATGTAAACAAACCACGGACCTCTCAGAAAACACTAACATCACCTGCTTTACTGACAGAGCTGTCTAGCTGTGGTTAAAGGCATGTATTTAATAGAGTTTGTCATGGGTTATATTTAGCTAGCATGAAACAAACAGTTTTCATCTTTAACTTCCAGCACTCTGGCAGTTTCTCTCCAAATTGCTCGCTGGAAGGGTCGTAGAGAACTCCCTGTTCTCCACTTCATGTATGAGTTTCTCCTTTTCCATTTTGAGGTGGAACGGCAGAGTGACATGACGTATCAAAAATAGAAATGGGGTGCCCATCAAAAATGGCACATTGCATTGTACCACATCACACTCTTCATCACACTTGTTCATTTTTAGTAAAGCTCCCAACCGCGAGCGGTATACATTTTCTCATAATTGCTCAAGAGGGCCGGCCAGTGGCTCAGGCCCCTGGACAGATGCTCATAAAACACATTGGAAAATCCATGCATCTGTGCTGTTTTTCAAGCAGGGATCCCCTAAACAAATTCTTATCTTGACATTTACAGAATGTCTATGGTGTAGTTAAATCTGAAATGTCACCTTAATGACCACATTCATAGAATTGATTGCCCCAGAAAAAATTGGGGTTCAGCTGATTTATTTTTTGTTTAAATTAATGTAGCCTTTTTAGCACTTTTATTAACATTGTTATGATGTTGTTACTAATATATATGATTATGGTATTAATGGGTAAAGGACATATCTGTGAAAGCACTATTAACGCTGAGCACACTTTGGAGCAATGTATGTCATTTTCAGGGAAGTCCATGCTTAACACGATAACCCCAAGCCACATTCTGCACATGTTACAGCATGGCTGTGTAATCAGAGAGTGCAGGTGCTAGACTGGCCTGCAGTCCAGACCTGTCTCCCACTGAAAATGTCTTATTAGCTCAAAATATGACAACAAAGGCCCTGTACGGCCATGCACGGCTGAAGACTTGTATAACAGAAGAATGGCAACAATTATACTTTCAAAATATATTTGTATTTTGTTGTCATTTGTCCTCTGTCATAGCTTATTAAAATAAAATGGAATCATTAAAATATAAATTGACTTCAATTTTATTTTAAAATAACATTTTAAGAGTTGTACTTTAGCTAATAATACAATTTTTGAAAAATATTGGAAATAATTAGGCAAAAATATACATTTCATAAAATAAAAATGTCGTTTTACCCATATAACATACCCGGAATTAGCTTTTTTTAATGTGCTGCATGGCAGCCAAAACACACAAGGGAGTGCAGGATGCCTGCACCGAACATCTACGGACATGTTAAAAAAGCAGTACATAGTTTTCATTCAAATTCTTTTCACACAACGCAAATAATATTAGCATCAATATTGTACAACAATGAAGTGTGGGAAATGGAAAGTGTTTAACCACAATTTAGAATAAACAATAGAAGTAAATGGGTATTTGACAGCAGTTGGCACAGAAAATACAGACCAGCACATTGTCGGGTTATGGTTGTGGCAGGAATGACAATTGGCACATAACATAGCCTGGGGGTGATAAATAAGTCAGATACTAAAATAGCACAAATAGCAGCATGTAATGGAGTAAACAGTCTAGCAGTTGCTTAAATCAGCAAGCTGTAGCACAGATTAGAAGGTTCCAAAGTAAACAGGAGGTATAAAAGGGATAGAGTAAGTTTGAGTTTCATTAAAAAAACAGATTATTTCAGAGAAGAAACTGTGGAGGTGAATTCTTGTGTGGGTGATAGACTTGGACGTTTTCTGTGATGGCAGTTTGGTGAAGTCAGGATGTGTGTGGGGTCTGTGCAGACCCACCCTGCTCTCTTTGTCCTGGAATAAGTACAAGGCTCTGATAGAGGAGAGCCGGCAGTCTGTGACTTTCTTTGCAGAGCAAACAAGACACTGAAACCTGGCTTTGAAAATGGAAACAGAGAAAAACCACTGACCGAGGCACTGAGGAAAAATAGAACTGGATCAAGATCCGAAGAATCCGAAGAATATGACACAGATACTGGCCCTGATTCTGAAGGAAGAGAAGCTGTTCAGTGACTTCTTTCAGAGCTTTAAAAGGATGAAGTGTTGAAGTGTTGTGCTGGTATAAGTGGATCAGACACAACAGTGCTGCTGCAGTTTTTAAACACTGTGTCCGCTCACTGTCCACTCTATTAGACACACCTACCTTGTTGATCCACCTCTATAAAGTCAGAGACAGTAGCCCATCTGCTGCTGCTCAGTTTGTGTTGGTCATCCTTTAGTCCTTCATCAGTGGTCACAGGACGAGGCCCACAGGACCCTGTTGGCTGGATATTTTTGGTTGGTGGACTATTCTCAGCCCTGCAGTGACACTGATGTGTTTAAAAACTCCAGCAGCACTGCTGTGTCTGATCCACTTGTACCAGCATAACACATAACACAGCATCACCAAAAATGACCCACCACCCAAATTACTTAAGGTATTACTTATAAAGTGCTCAGTGAGTTTGTATATATATATATAATATATAAACAGATTAATTTAATCTGTTTAATTTTCTAATATATCTAAATACTTATTGCTAGCATTTACTTTAAAGCCATATTTTAAAATCTTACACCAATCCTCATCTTTAACATAATACATAGGCCATATACTTACATATAGCAGCTGTTTTTTTATTACATTTTTTAATGGTTATGTCAGAGGCTTACTTTCAGTCAAGACCAACGTGTGGCTTCAGCAGGTTGGATTCATCAAGTTATCATCTCTTGGGCACAAATGTTTGGTGGTCAGGAATTTTTTTAATGATATCACAGCAGGTGACATTTCTATTTGACCTCTGATGACTTTATGGAAGTAGACAGTTCGGTGATCGCTACCAACAAAAACAATGCAACTTTTTTCAGTACTTGGGCGGCTGACATTTCATATTTGGCATTGGAAATGGGCATCCTGCGCACTGTCAGGAAATCAGACTCTCACTTTTACAGATCCTCCAGGCACAAAGTACATTCAGAGGAACAGAAGCTCGCTGCTAAAAACCTGCAAGCTTGTTCGAGGTAATGGCAGACAGTGGAACGGTGGCTAAGCAGATTGGAGGAGAAAATGAAGCAGATGTTGTGCAAAGACGTGGAGAGCATCGGGATTGTGATCAACCCTAACAATGACAAGGTTAAAATTAGTTCATTTTTTCACTGTGTTCCCACACAAGTCAAAACAGCTGCTTAGATTTTCTCATAGTTGCCTGTGAGGTCCCTTATAGTGGCTCGATCCCAAAGGCAAACATCCATAAACCCCATGGGATGATCCACGCCTGTCCTACAGTAAGGGGAAACAAGTATTAAGAGACTTTTATTTTTGTTATTTAATACACTTCCAGTGCATTTGTCCATATATCATAAAATTTCTAAATATGAACACTTACAAAGATGTATTCGTTAGCAAAATTATTAAACAATAATCAAATGGAAAAAGTTTCAGAGCCACACCAAAGACCTCAAACATCCCTATCAGTACAACTGGATCGATAATATGCAGTCAGAAAGTTCATGGAACCACAACTAATTGTCCCTGGCTAATGATAAAGAAAGTAAAAGAAGAGCCAGCAGTCAATCAAAAAGAGTTGCAGGACGACCTGAAAGCAGCAGAAACAACAGCTACACAGAGAACAATAAGCAGTGACCTGCACTGCAATCATCCTCCCATGCAAAACTCCTCTGCTATAAAAAGAAACCAGAGATGTGCATTTATAATAATTCAGTTCATTATGTCTGGAGAAATAAGGATTCTGTGTATGATCCGAAGAAAACCAAATCCACAGTAAAGCATGGAGGTGGGAGCACCGAGATGTGGGGCTGTTTTTCTGCAAACAGCACTAGGGCATTACATGTCACTGAAAGAAACATGAATGAAGCATATTAGCTCATCAGCCTAGAAAGGGAAGAAGATGGATATTTCAAGAAGACAACAACCTTAAGCATACAGTCAAAATAACTTAAGACTAGTTTCTAAAGAAGGTTACGGTGCTTGAATGGCCTAGCCAACCTCCTGACTTAAATCTCATTGTAAAATTATGGAGCTTGAAATTGCAAGTGCATTAGAGGGTTCATCACCTTGGGACAATTAAAGATGGTTAGCCAAGAAGAATGGACTAAAATTGAACCACAATGCTGCCCAAAGCTCACAACTTCTTACTCTAGACTTCTCAAAGCTGTTATTGCCAACAAAGGCCTTGCAGCAAATTACTAATGTTATAAACTGGTGTCTGATCACCTTTTTTCCCCTATCACTTTTGTTTTTAAACATAACTTTGTGTATGCTTATGAATACATACCTTTTATGTACATATTTAAAAGTACATGAAGCATTGTGTGTAAATTTGAATTGCCCTTATCCACTCGAAGTGTATTAAATAACAAAAACAAGTGTCATTTAAGATTGATTTTATTTTTCCCCATCAGCTTTTGATCATTTAGAAGATTTCGAAGCAAAACAGAAACACAACCTTATGCATAAGTAAGTCGATAATTTATTAAAGAACATTCTGTTTATAAAATAAATAAATAATAAATAAATACATACATACATAAATAAACAAACAACTAACATTAAAGATAATGACCAGCAAGATCAAAGGCCTTTGACAGCAAGAACCAAATGAACCAGCCACTTGGTCTGTAGCAGCTAACGATAGTCAACACCAATTCTGCCAATATCACTGAGAAAGAACGATCACATTGTACTAGTGAGCATCATTATCTACTTATTATTTTGGACAACTAAAGACAACCTACATGGCTAAAAACAAAAAAAAACATTCTATTATTCAAGTATTAAGTTTCCCCTTTATCCATAGGCAAGTTAAACCACCTGTCTTGCCTCTTTCGAGATACATTAACAATGATCAGGTGCATTGTACACAAACACCCACGTGTTCTTAACAGCAGAGTACATATACCAAGAGTATACTGACCAACACTAACTATGAGCCGGAGAACTCCTCAGCATTCTTCATCTGCAGAATTTAGCATGTTTACATTCATCATACATATTTATCCTAAAACTGATGAGGAGATCCCCAATAACGTTAACCTTTAACAACTATGACAATCTTTGATGTGTAAATAAAGTTACAATCCACTACAGTATACGTAACTTCTAGCACAATCACGGTGAAGGTATATGTGATTGGTGGTTATGGATTGTTACGTCTGTTGGTTAAGGTTTGTTAGTTTTCAAGTAAACCCTGAACTAAGCCATAGTGCTAAGCCCTTCTAATACAAGAGTGAACTTTTCATTTGACCACAGCTGTTTACGCTGCGCTATGCTAAAGGAAAGGAAGAGGCTGTAGAAAAATACAGGACTAGCTGTGGTGAGCTGTAGTGTTCCCTGGCACGAGGAGGGTAGGTGTCCACTGGTGTGATTTGGCCCTTGTTAAAATACACCAAATGAGTTATTGCATTGATGTACCTGATGTTTCACACAGGGCTGGTACCAAAAGGGAGCTGCTATGAACTCAGACGCTCACGATGCACACAGATTACGGCTGAGTTAGCTTATGAGTCGACAGCAAACGCTTTCCCTGCCACGCTGACAGCTTGCGCCATCTTTGAGGTCACAAGTGCCGGCAAACATTAACATAGAAGGTAGTTTATCGACAGTGTTATCTAAATGTGAATCTTCTATAATGCTGCTTCTACTAGGCTACCGTTAAATTCAAGTGTGAGTTTGTCAGGATTAGTAGCATAGGAATTTAGCACTTGGATAACTGCAGAAACCCTTTGTACCTAGAGCTATGTAGAAAGGAACAGTGGAAATTTGTTTCTGTTTACTGTGTCTAGTAATCTAGTGATCGCTGTGATGCAAACATATTATTATAATTACTATGATTACAACCCTTATTATCAAACCATCCTCATCACTGAGTTTCACTAGACAACAGCCTATACATTTCTACTATTTCGACACTGATTGTGCTTTGAACTTTTTGGACGTCTGCCTGACCTATTACGTATAAGTAAAAAAAAAATATGACATTGCATTGTCAGATACATCATCTGAACATTAAGACAGAGAACGCTAGCGTTAGCAGGATGGCCCTGAGGGAGGTGCTGTCTTTCTCTCTCAGGCCACTGCAGGAGAGGTGCTCCAGAAGCACCAGCGGCGGCGTGAGTGATGCTTGTTCAGAACCACATCCTCCTTCTCCCTCTCCTTCTTCACCCTCTGGTAGTGGTCTTCCTCTTTCAGGTACCAGACTGGAGGCCAGCGGTGCTTCTCAAAGTACTCCTGGTTCTCTGCTCATGTCACAACATGCGGACAGAGAACAAACGATCTCAGTTAACAATAAGGCTGCATAACATGGACAAAAATGTGATATACGATGAAGTGGCTGGATGTTGCAAAGACTACATAAAACCCTATACTGGCTTTATGGATCATTCTACTGATTTGGTTCCAAATTAGAGTTTAAAATTAATTTTGGACTTTTAACTGACTTGGAATTTAGACTAAAATTATTTTTCTTTGAGTGACCCTATACCTTTATTATGTTTATTTTATGAAATAAATGACTGAACATTTATGCCACTACCAACATTAATAATAATGCCTCCAAAAATTTACCAATTGTTTCTGTTTCGGTAGTGACAATTTTAGCTCATTTTGCACAGAACTCAAAAACGGTAGCCAGTACGTGACTGGAAAACACAGCTTTGAAAAATTGAATGCACATAAAATCATAATATTTTTCAATAACACACAAAAATATGTGTGTCACTAGTGACAATTCTTAATGTCACACATTGATTTTCAGACTTTGGAACACATTTTACTTCTAAACAATGGGCTCTAACTGCTCACCATGTAGCCATGAGGGACAGGGATGCAGTCGCTAAAATGCAGGGCTGTGGCCAAAATAAGACTCCACCTATGGACTAAAACTCGCTGTGTGACATGAAAATGTGAGACAGCATTTTTTTAAGAAAGTTTTTTATTAAAAAATTAAAAAACAAGAACTGTCCCAAATGAGAACCAGTGTGACTTATGTAATAACCACGTAATTCACATGAAGACACTGGAAAGACTATATGTCCGCAGGTCACAGCTGTGTGCCACATTTCAGACATACCTCCATTCAGAGCAATGGAAACATTACAGATTGTTTGAGATGCTGCGGACATCTCTTTCGCAATTAAAAAACACTTTACTGTCATTTTGCACACAGTCAGGTTGAGTGTAACTGCACATGTGTTTGTAATGTTCTTACCTGGTAATTTGGACTTGATCTCTTTGCGGTAAATGGCACATATACTGTTGTAATTAGTGCAGATGTGATGCAAGCACCAGGCAGCAAGTTGGTTGGCGTTATGGAACTGTGAGAAGAAAAGAACAGGTCAACGTACTTGTAAAATGACACAATATTGCAAACACAAGTGATATGTGCATATACTGTGCAAAAGCCAGAGACCGTTTTATTTATTTATTTATTTAATTAATTAATTCCCAGTTAAAAGGGCCATTCCATAGGAGTAAGCAGAAAACATATATTTAACAGAAAATTATGCAGAATTCTCACAAACTAAAATCAAATATCATGTTTTTCAGTATTTAACATGTCCAACCTCTATCTTAATCACAGCTTCTATTACATTCTGTCCTGAAAAAAGCCATTAAGACAAGGAAATAGACAGCGAAAGATGAAAATCTGCAGCAAAACACTCAAACTGGAACTGAAATGTGGAGTAAACTTTTACCTACTGATGAGTCTAAACTTGTGTTAGGGATTACTTGATTGTGAGAAGCAGAAAATGAAACCAACTTCTAAAGCTGAAGAAATATCCTTGCAGATTTCTTTGAAAAACTGAAAGGAAGTATCTCAAAAAGAATGAAAGCTGTAACAAAGGCAAAGAATGCACAGAACTCAAAAATTTGATATGATATTGTTTTCCTGTTTTTTGCTTTTATTTTTTTTTGACTTTCCCCTTCCTTATACAAGTGGATTGTCCTATATCTAATCTCCTCAGATATATCTTGACTGGAACTTAAACAGATGAAGGGTGTCTTTGCACAGTATTGTAGTAAGTATTGTAGGTATTGCTAGTATTGTAGTGTCATATTTTACATTATTTAATTTATCTAAATTGTAATTACTATATTACTCCATATAACAAAAACGAGTCAAAATAATGTTAACCAGCACCTGAGCAAGCTCCAGATAGGTGAGAACTTCGCCGTCTATGTCTTGTCCGTCCTTAAAGGCCTTCAACAACTCACTCACTGCATATTGCTCTGTGGAGAAATAAAGACTTTTCAAATAGAGCTCATATTAAACCATACCGACACCTCAACTGAATGCATTTGCAATGTAATCTTAACTTGCTTCAAGCAAGAACAGTAATTGGAAATGCCTTTCTGTGTAATCATCACCGCGTACTAAAACATTTTGATTCTTCACTGCGTCTGAGCGCAACACAGTGTCAGAAAATGGATTATTTCTGTTGACTGAGGCACAGGCGCCGCACCACAAAGCCTGAAGTAAACCTTTGCCTACGCATGAGCCATAGATCAATGTCAAACTGTCACCATTACTGCTTTATGTGAATGTTTGATGACGTTAACTGGACAGCTTGCAATCTGCCCTACACCAGGCTTGTGGAATCAGTCTTGGCTTTTTTTCCCCTCAGAGTCTTGACGTTGCACGTTGCTAAGCAACACTGAATGGAGGAACTAAAACGGCAGTTTGATTCGAGTTTGTATTGGCCACATGGCTTTGGTCTGAGCTTGAGGAGTTGTGCGTGTTTTTGTGTTTGAGATGGAGAGCCCACCTGTCAGGGCGATGAGGCGGGGAAGGCACAGTCTGTTTGCCAGAGCGATTAACTCCATTGGGTCCAGGTCGGCCATGGGCGACAGCTGATTGGTGTAGAGGTACTCCAGCACTGCCTGCATACACACCCTGCTGGTGTTGGGGAAGGAGACCTAGCAACACAGCACACACATACACACACATATACGCATGCATTCAGTGCAAGAGCAGCTCTAATATTTCACTATATAATTGCAGCTCTTACTTACAGAGGACTTATAAAGTAAGTGTTGCTGTAATAGTGTAACAAAAAAATGTACTGGCGTTGCCTTGGATATTACTGAGATGTAGAAATTCTTCTGTAATGTTTAGGCCACATGCAAATTTTCATGTTTCCCAAAATTCAATATATACACAGCCATATGCAAATGTTTTCTATGTGCACATCATCTACACAGGACACACTGTAAATTTAAAGCACAATTCCTGTTTATTTGCTGAATTTAACATATTAAGAAAAAATAAATAATAAACATAGAATGTGTGAAAGGCCTTTTTTTGTTTAATTCAGCAAATAATTAGGAATTGCGCACAAAAATACACAGAAAATGCCATATTTAAGTTTGTTCTCTGTAGAGGATGTGTACACATTTTTACTTAGAAAATCAACAAAACATCTAACTTGAGCAAATTTTTATGGCTGATCCCAGCTTTTTGCAGCCACACTGACCATTGGCTAATAGCTGATTTTTTTTTCACCTGGGACAAAACTGCATTGTAAAACTGTAAATAAAAAAATGTAGACATGAATCAAATAAATGGAGTTATGGAATAACTGAAATTAGAAGGGGGGGGCATGCCTGGAACCCTTCCTCCTTTCAATCTAACGCTCTATAAATTCCTAGCTCTCCCTTCTGGAGTTTTCACAACCCCATCACCACTGCATCTCCTCCCTTTTCCTCAGTCCAATGTCAGTCCTACCACAGTTAAAAAGAGGGAGCCGGACAAATTTCCATTAATCAGTCTCCCTTCCTTCATAACGCCATAATTTGAAGGCATGGTCTGAACTATAAATTATCATAAAGTAGTATATATTATAATTCTGTGGCACAGCCTGGCTTGAAGGAGGAAAGAAAATTGAGAATCTGAGCAACGCATGCAGGTTTGTAGTCATTCATTGCTCACAAATTGTGTGTATATGAAGTAAAAGGCCAGAAACCATAGTCCATATACCCTATGTATGGAGGGATAATCTTGCTTTTTAACAAGAAAATGTTGTGCTAATTATTTGAAGTTATTGTCCCGGCCTTCACCATACATTTCTGCTTAGTAATGAACACTATGAGAAGATAAAAATATCAAATTATTATGTAGTTTGATCAAATGGTGAAACAAGACTTTACAGATTTCAGGCTACTTTTAAATTCAGCTAACAGTACATGTTAATGTCAAATACAGAAAAAACATAATGTAGTTAATACAAATAAAAAAAATCAATATGCATCAAAGATGCATCAAATCAAATTGTAAAGTACCTAAACAGTGCAAGTGCATTTACCTGACTTTACATTTTTTGAGTCATAAAACTGCAACACAGATCAACCAAAATCAAAACTTTAAATTGCTTGTTTGTAGCATTCTGATGCTTGATTGGCCAATTCCGATCCTGCATGCCTAAGTCATTCTGCTTTTTGATTAGGTTTTTAATGCCCTTTTAATACCAGGAGAACACCATTTTACACAATACTCCTTAGAGCCTCTTGAAGCTTTTTGAAAGGTTTTGACCTGAGAACAAAACAGTTACTCTACAGTGACAAGACAAAAAAAACTACCTGGAGCTTTTTCTTTCATGAGCACAGTCATTTGTTAAATTATTAACTGCTAATCTCGGTCACATCTGACGGCATCCTTGAAAGCGTTTATGTATTTCTCTGTGACCTATGGCATCAGCAAAGGTCCTTCTCTCTGGTAATCCCAGTGGAATCGATGACAGGCTCACCTCAGAGCATTACTAAGCACATTTTAGCAAAGCACATAGTCAGATGTAGCTACGTAACTTGTTGCATAACATGCTTCAAAAGAAAATTCTACAGACTGCACTGCACAGGTAAGCGAGCAGTAAAAGAAAAGACATTCAAAATACTTTGTCTCTAATTCAAATGTGAACTACCTCAGGGTAAGTAGGACGGCGCCATCCCTAAAATAAAGCTGTCCCAATTGTAACCCTGGCATGTGATGCTGGCCAAGCACATCACTGAACAGAATAAAGTAGGCCTGGCATCATCTTTCTCATCCTCCACGCAAGTACTGACCATAAAGGAAAACTCAGATGTCTCTCAATGACGTCTGTTTCCCCTCGTTAGACAGAAACATTGGTCTGTTTTTTTTCCATTAGCAGTTTAACATTAACGCAGGAGTGGTATGCTCCATTAGTCCCATAGGGGATAGTTTCCTTAACTACAAGTAGAAGTCTGGTTATGACTGGATTGCTGTGCTGATAAATGCTTGTTGTAAAAGCTTAATGGTCTCTAAATGTCTGGCAGACATTGTAATACCACAACCAGACAAAACAAACAGTATAGCAGACATTGCAATAGAACAAGACTAAACAAAGGGCAAAAAAAAAAAAACAAGATGAACCATCATGATCTGAAATATACAGCACTGTGCAAAATGTCCTTCATTTATTTCCAGGAGATAATATCTAAGGAGATTAGATGTAAGGTAATCCACTTGCACAAGAATGGGTAAAGTCAATGTAAAATAAGTGAAAAATCAGGAGTTTTCAAAAAATTCTTAACAGATACAGAGAAAATGGAACTCCTAAATACCACACAAGTCCTAGTAGGCCACCAAAACTGTCATAATCAGATAAACAATACTTTCCTCTTTGAGGAAATCATGCTCCAGATTGCTTCGGAGTTAAAAAAAAAAAAAAAAAAATCACAAGTATTTCTGTCCATCCTTCCACTGTGAGAAGACATCTCAGCACTATGGGTCTGAAATGATGTGTAGCTGTCAAGAAGTTGTTAGTAAGAAAAGGAAATAGACAAGAAAGAAGAAAATCTGCAAATCAAACAAAGAAGCTGCCGGTGTTCTCTAAACAATAGACTGACCACCCCAGAGTCCAGACCTCGACATCACTGAATGTGTTTGGAATTACTTGAACTGTGAAAAGCAGAAAACGGAACCAAATTTTAAGACTGAGCTTTGGAGGGGTGGAAAAAAATTCCACCAGATTTCTTTGAAAAACTGAAAGCAAGTCTCCCAAAAAGGGTGGAAGCTGTAATAAAGGTAAAGTGTAAACACACTAAATACGCAAAAAACGTATACTTATTATATTTAGTTGTTGAGTGTTTTCAGCATTTTTCCTGACACTGCAAAATACCAAATACAATTTTTCAGCATTTTTCATGTGTCCACTCTTTGCCTTCATTAGAGCTTCCATTCTTCTCGGGAAGACCTGTAAATCTTTAGGGACATATTTCTATACCTCCAAAGATCAGTTTTAGAAATTGGATGCATTTTCTGCTTCTCACAATCCAAGTAATCTAAATTACAAATGTAGGCAAATTCAGAGTATACAAAATGTTACTCCACATCTCAGATGTCCGGTTTTTGGTCTTCTAGTGCAAATTTTCATCGTTTTTGTCCATTTCCATTTATCAGTAACAATTTCTTGAAAGCTACACATCCTTTCAGACCCATAGCGCTGAGTTGTCTTCTCACAGTGGAAGGAGGGACAGAAACACGTGTGGATTTTTTCAGATCTGGAGCAAGAGTGGAGCTTGATTTTCTCCTCTATCTCAAAGACGAAAGCTTTAAGAACTGTTTATCTGATGTTTACAGTTGTCTAGGTCTTGCACGTTTTATTCTACATCTTTGAATACTTTTTTGAAATCCAGTTTTTGGAAAGTCCTGTTTTTTCACTTTGTTTTCTTTTGGCTTTTGGCTTATTATCTTATATCTTATTATTATCTTATTACCTCTTAAGAAATATCTCCTGAATTTTGCACAGTGCTGTATTTTCAGTGACGTGTTTGACAGTACCAGGCCTAGGTTATTTTGAATTAGTGAAAAGTGTGATGCAGCTTGGCAGGCTCTGAATGCATGATGAATATTTGTGCGTAGGCTCTGGACTGCATCTTTTGAGTGTGTGTGCGGGTGTTCGTCTGTATCTGGGCAGTGTGACCTTGCACCATCTGGTTAAAGATTGAAAAAGATTCCACATGAATCCTTTATGAAGTGGTAAAAAAACTATGAGCATATCAGTGTGCTGGCCAAAGCTCATTATACAAAGCTTTCACACTCACCTCATTGTTTGCACTCTCAATGAATGAGCCTCCAAACAGAGCAGCCATCCAGTCACAGCTGGAGATCAGCAAAGGCTTATGTGCATTGATGGTGCCATCATCCAACCTGAACACAACATCTTCCAAGACAGCCAAAGAATACCATGAACAAAAGCATTTACAAAATCACTGATTAATATCAGTGTCATCACCATGATGGTTACTTATGAGCCAAATACAAATAAAACTCTATCATGTCAAAAAACAGCAGTTACATGAAGATAATACATGAACAAATTTGTGCACGGAATTTTCTTTAAATATGTTTTCAAATATGTCATGTTTACAACAAGAATACAATATAACATCAATGCAATTAATGCCTAAAATAAGTCAAGTAAAAAAATGTGTTGACATAATGCAGTTGAAAGCAAACATATTGGAAGTAAAATGGCTTCAGATGAAAAGATGAGAATGAGATTATAGCACTGTATGTCAGCCTTTATTTTTGGGTGATGTTTTCCATCCATCCATATGTCATTTATGTTTGGAGGCATTTGCTTGGGCATGGAAACACAAGATATTTGCATACACTTCAGAATTCATTCTGCTGGTACCATCACCAAATACTTCATCAATGAGGACCAGCAAGCCATTTCCAGTAGCAGCTATGCATGCCCAAGCCATGACACTAACTCCTCCATGCTTCACAGATCAAGAGGTATACTTAGGATCATTTACAGTCCTTCTCTTTTTCCACACTTTTCCCATCATCGTGATATAGATTAATCCTTGACACTTTGCTATAGAAGCCTTCTAACTCATCTTCACACTCAAATTCCTGCATGGCCATTCTGTTTTTTGTTGCTGATGAGCGGTTTGCATTTTGTAATGCAGCTTCTGTCTCTTGAAGTGAATGATCAATACTAACACACTCATCCTTGCTCTGTAAATTTCCTTTTATTTCCTTGGATTTTTTTTTTTTTTCTTCACAGCTGTAACAATGGGCCTCTTTCACCAATATGTTCCTAAGTTTGTTCTTAAATTTATTCTTGAGAAAGGTACTAAAAAAAGTCTATGTCAAATTCACGATGTGTTCTTAAACTGCAGAACTGTTCGCACCTTTGTGCTTTTGAGTGTGTGTAGATTCTGTTCTTACCTTAAGATCAAATCCCAAACTAGAAAACATTGGTGAATGCCAGAATCTTCGTGAAAACTATGTAAGGGGTTTTTCAAAAAGAAATTTCTTCTCAAGAAGGGTTGGTGAATGAGGCCCAATGTTCCTATCATCAGCTGCTGTGCTTTTCCAGGAACAGCTTGATCATCGCAAATTGCTGCTCTAGTAGTTTCTTTCTTTTTCAAAACATTTCATACTGTTGTTTTTGGAATGCTTAGTTTTTCTGCAATGGTTCTGAATGGTATTTTCTTTAATCTCTTGTCTAAAACTGTCTGTTTTTTGTTTTTTCATAGTCAGTTCTCTAGTTTTTTATCCTTTTTCAAAACAAGATCCCTAATGTAAAATTCAATGACTACAATCGTTCTGCACATTCACGGCTCTTTTATGTGTTTTAAGGGAACAATTAAGGTAACATGGAATGCCTGAGCAATCAAAATCACCTGTCATTCATTTGTCCCAATACTTATGCTCAGCTGAAATTTAGTCTCATGCTCACCTTTTGATCTGGAATACAAATATTTTCTGAAGATCTAACCAAAATAACCCATTTAATCTCACTTCTGCGATATTTTTTGCTTCTCATTTTTTACTGATATACATATGTTGCAGGAGAGATAGTAATCATTTCTTTATACTGTGCAATCTGATTTATTTCTATTGAGTGGTGTAGAAAATCAACTCATCCAGGTGGAAGTAATGTTCTTTACCTGTAAAATTGTTCTTGGCCAGACATTCCTTGATCCTGTTGGCTTTTCTCACATGGAATGCTTTCGTGATCTCCTGATTCATGAAGCCCTCTTTGTTCATGATGTTCTCCACCATCATCCTCAGGTCAAAGACTTCCAGTATCTCAGCGATCTGGGCGATCTTCATCAGGTCCTTCTCCTTCTCGTCTAGCTCCCCCGTGTATAGAAACCGCAGCACTGCACTGAATGGCCCCAGCTGGATGGAGTGGTCCATCTTCACCACTGTCATTGGAGCTGGAGTACCTGTCACTGGGTTGACCACGGTTTCTCTGTGGATGCTGTAGAACGCTTTACTCCAAGATGCCAGGGACAACTTAGTGCGACGGTGTCTCCCGCTGAAGCTCATTATCTTCAGAGTTCCATCACTCTTGGAGGTGCGTAGAGAACAAGGTGAAAGATTGGGCAACACAGCCACGTCTTCCTCCGTGTCCAGGCTGAGGGTCCGCATCAGCTGGTCCCGCCCATGCCGCTCTGTCACCACCAAACACTGGGACTCGTCACAGAAGTCCATCTGGAAGAGGTCGAAGAACTTGGAGGATGAGGTAGACAGGTATATCTTGTGGGCGAACACATGGATATGCTCTTGAATGATGAACATGACATCAGCACAGAGGGGGTTCTCTAGAAGCTGCCTGGGGCCATCATGGTTGTTGGGGGGGCAATCTGGGATCTTGATCAATGGTGGAGGTGCTTTGGGGGGGAGGAAGGGTGCCTGCAGTAGGGGCTTCTGGACCTTCCGCAGATGGGACTTCCAGAACTGAAGGTGCCGCCTGGAGATGAGAGCGGCTCGGATGGCATTGTCAAAGACGTCTTTAATGCCAAACTGATCAAAGACACTTGTTTCATAATACGGAATACCCAGCTCTTTGGCCACTTCCCTTCCACGCTCTGGAGGCAAAATGTCTCCAGGTTTTATAGGCCTGTTAGAGACATTTCAATGAGATACTTTAATGTGACATAAACACTGAGTAGGGTAAACATTCTAGGATAATGTGGAGGTCCTTCAAAATTGTTTACAACATTGTTTAAGGGGCACTCAGGCCAAACTAAAAACTTACATCCGTTCTAAATATATCTACTCACTTCTTACAGTGCGGCCACAATAGTCCCAAGACTAAAATTTTCTACATAAAGACTAGGAAATTATGTATCTTAAAGGTGGGAAGAACTTTAAAAAACTACAAATGCTTTGGGTGTATTCATGAGGGCTGGCAGTTTAAAATGTTTGTTTTTCCCGCTAGCCAACTAACGCAGAAGGAAGCTAGATCTTACATCTGTATTTATTTGCTCTCTATATCAGTGGGTGGATGATTTCCACAAATATTTACACAAAGCATGCTGGGTATTGTAGTAAGAGAACATTGATGGATGAAAACACAAAAAGGATTCAAAATCGTGAATCCTGTCTAAGCGATAAGGCTGCAATGCTGCACTACATAAAATTACATGACCAATAAAATATTAAATGCTAGTTTTAACCCCTGACGCAGAAGGATAAGTGGCTTGTGTATAGCATTACTCCAAGAATATATATATATAAATATATTGTCGCTGTGGGACAAAAAAAACTTGTACCACCAAAATGGCAACAGGAGAAGGGAAAAAAGCTAAGGTAACAAGATTTTTTATCAAGTAATTTTGGGCCATTTCTATTAGTCTGTTTATCATGAAATTTTAACACCATGCAAAGGGTAACTGGAGTTTTCAAATAATGCAAAAATGTAAAAACATGACAAAAATCTGTATCTACATCAGCAGCTGTCCTTTATGCCATGTCAGAATTTCATAATAAATGGACCTAGATAAATGCTCCAACATGACTCGGAATTAAAGCTCTTTACATGAGCTTACATGAAAAGATAAAAGGTGTTTGCCTTCTCATGTAAAGTTACTGTTTTGGAGATACATGTTTTTCTATGGAAGGTGACGATATGTTGTGCATATAATAGAAATATTCTCACTTCTTCTCACCGGAATAAAATGCATTAATCTGTGTTCTGAACAAATGTGAAAAGCTTTATTGCAGCAGGAAGCAAAGGAACAATAACATAAATAATTACCTTGCTAATGGTCGTCTAGCCCGATTGACAGCCTCCAAGTCTGCATAGCGTAGATCGAGCTGACATCCTACAAGAATGACAGGTGTACGTGGGCAGAAGTGTTTGATCTCCAGGTACCACATGGTCTTGACGTGATGGAGAGAGTTGGGGTTGGCGATGGAAAAGCACAGAACCACCACGTCAGACCTAGGGATGTGAAAAGGAAGTAAAGGTGGCTCAAGCAACAGTCATAAACAAACCACCATCATCATACTAGCAAAATGCAAGACATCACTAGACACAGCATGCTAACAGGATGTGCAGCGTAGAGTGCTGTACATGACAGGTGCCAAGCGGTATCCGTAGCAACACCACAGTCCTGCAGTGTTTTGGCATGCAGAGGAAGGACCCGCCCCATGGTCTCAATGCCAGCCCTGACATTGACCTTCTGACAGGATATGAAAAGATTGCCTTTGGTTCACACCCACGTCCTTGGAGACGTCTGACGCTCACAGCAATGAACACCTTGGGCAATGCTTTTTCAGGGCCGCCTCGGTGAAGACAATTTCAAACATGGGAAACAAAATGACAGAAACCAACAAAGAAAAGAAAGAAAAGGAGAACATGCAGACATACTGACACGTGACTGGCATACCTTCTGGGAGTGAGGTTAGTACACTGTCTATGCTGACAGGAGGCAACACCGGCAACCACACAAGAACAGTGAACAATGTATGATCACCCCCCCTTCGCCATCGTCCGCCAAAGGAATTGTGCAGCGCTCGCTGACAGGGCAAGCGACGGACGCAGCTACCACACCACACAGTCAAACTGGAAATGCAGAGAGTTATGAAGACACTAGCGGACTTGCAGACTTACAGTGTCTCGGTTATGTTTCTCAGGCTCGCATTAAGACCATAGGTGCCCTACGAACAGAAACAGGCACAGAACAATGCTACGTAGTAGTTGGCCTTTTCAAAGAATTCAAAAAGCACAAAATTCTGGATTTCACCTTATTTTCAGTGCATACAGTACTGTGCAAAAGTCTGAGACCACCCTTTATATCAAAATGGCTATTAGGTACATTTTTGTGTTTTGCAGGAAAAACGCAAACAAGCAGGAAACATATATTTACAGACATGTACACAGAAGCTTCAGTAACCAAATATAATGTCAAAATGTTCAGTATTTAGTGTGTCCATCTCTTTTACCTTCTTTTTGGGAGACTTCCTTTCAGTCTTTTAAAAAAGTATGCAGGGATTTTCTCCACACCTCCAAAGTTCAGTCTTAGACATTGGTTGCATTTTCTGCTGATGAATGAGGTCTGAACTTTGATTTGTAATAAGCATTATGTTGTCTTCTCACAGTGGAAGGATGGATATAAATGCCTGTGGATTCTGAAGCAAGAGTGGAGCTTGATTTTCTCCTATATCTCAAAGATGAAAGCTTTAAGTATGTTTATCTTATGGTGGTCTACCAGGTGTTCCACAATTGTTAGTGGTTGTGGTCCCATTTTCTCTGTCTTTATTTTAACAATAACATCAGCTTTTTTAATGCACGGGGATTATCTTGAAAATATCTTCTAAAAATGAAAAACTTGTACATGGCAGTTTTAGATGTAAATTCCATCAAGGGTAGTCTCTGACTTTTCACAGTACTGTTGACATCACAGTAATATTCGTTTTTTTTCATGAAAACCTAAATCTTTCATGCAGCGTCCTGGGAAACAAACATCCAACAGTAAGACTATTTCATATCATGTTAAGCACTAATATAAGGACACAGAAGAGTTGATCAGGGATAAGCACTGTGAAACACTCAATACATGGCATATGACACAGTTCAGATAACAACTGCTGAGCTAAGGTTTTCTCCAGGAAGTCAATGGCTTCCTGAAAGTATGACCTCTTGGGCCAAACAGGAGCTGATAGCAAATCAACTCAGGAGTGCAAATCTGCCTTATTCCAGCCCAGAATCAATGCACTGCTGGAGAAACATTAAGAATTTGGGAAGTTACAGTGGTACAAGGGTCCGCAGCCACCCTCTCCCGCGCCCTCATTTACCTCCAAAGAGCATGTTAGCAATCTGAGTTGCCTGAATCGAGTCTAATCCATCCTGTCAATACACCTAGTGCTTAAGACACCTACATTACCAAGGAAAACAGCAGCTGCGATTGATTCACTAATCAATGGCACCCTCTCCAGCCAAGTCCTAAAACCCTGAGTGAGCATGTCCAGTAAAGCTCATGTCCAGCATTAGCACACAATAGCCCTAATACCTGCTGATCAGTCTGCTACATGTCATGAGTAGACAATACAAAAGCAAACTAATACAGATGTTGTTGCCTGCTACACATAAGGTCATAAATCCACTATAACTCAGCCCATATTTATAATATATGAGTAGCGTGATCTTTCAAAAAACCACAGCACTGACAAACTATGAAGAATAAACACCTGGATTTATGGCCTGACTTTTATATTGCAGTTTCTCATTATTCATCACTAATTCAGCTCCAATCCAGTAAACATTCAGCACATTCTCTCTTTTCATGTCTCCCCAGGCAGGGAAATAGTAGTAATGGGATACATATCACTCTACTAAATATACAATACCTTAAATCTACAAATTATTTTGCCAGTTAATCGAGTTTTAAAGAGAAAGAATAAAAAATGGACTTGAACAATAACAAACCATCCATAGCCTTTCATTCGAAAATAGTTTTGGGAAAGTAGATAAACTACGAAGGCTCAAGACAGAAAATGTATATGAATTATCTGTAGGAATTTAAAGTATGCATTATCATCATGCAAATCACTGCCAGTTCATCGGGAAGGTAAATTTTAATTAATTATTTAATTTTTTAAAATCATTTGATTGAATTTTATCAAGTAATCATGACTGTTCCACATTTACTAAAGTCACTCAAGTCTAATCTTAAGCCCTGTGTCCAGATATATACACCTTCCAGGCAAAATGGCCATCAAGTATAAGGTATACATTCTTCAGCATCAGGAAAAAGCAGAAAACATATTCAAGAGAAAATTACATAGAAGCCTCAACAACTAAATATGATGTTCAATTTTCAGTATTTCACCACTTTGCCTTTATTACAGCTTCCATTCTTTTAGGTAGCCTTTCTGCAGGGATATTTTTCCACACCTCCAAAGTTCAGTCTTATAAATTGGTTGCACTTTCTGCTTTTTTCAATCCAAGTAAGGCCAACTACAAATGTAGACTTATTAGTCTATAATACCTTGCTCCATATATCAGATGTCCAGGCATGTTGTTCTAGTGCAAAATTTAATCTAATTGTCTCCTCAGAGTGAAAGGATGGACAGGGACTCCTGTGGATTTTTAAGATCTGAAGCAAGAGTGGAGCTTGATTTTCTCCTTTCTCTTAAAAATGAAAGCTTTCAGTACTGTTCACATGATGGCGACAGTTTTGCCTAACAGGTCTTGCACGTCTGCAATGTGTCCAATTTTCTCTATATGCTTTAATCATTTTTTGAACTCTAGTTTTTTGGAAATTCCTGTTTTTTCACTTATTTTCCTTTCACTTTCCCCTTCCTTATGCAGGTGGATTATTATTTTATATGTAATCTCTTCAGAAATATCTCCTGAAAAATGAATGACTTGCAATTAGTAGCCATTTTGACTGGAAATGACATAAACAAAGAGTGATCTCCAACTTTTTCACAGTACTGTTTGTCCTTTAGCTTTCACAGTACATCTCTTTTTGGTCGCTGCAGTGTAGGTTATTGGGCTGCTGTATGGGCTAAATGTGACTAGTGATCTCCCAGAGGCCACCCTCATATCTTTATGAGCATGGGTCTGACTTTATGGCTTATGGCCCAAGCACTTTTGTTTTATTTTTAGGATGCAATAAAGCAGGAACAGGAGATACGGCTCCACAGAATGGAAATGCAATTCTGCTGAGAAGATGACTGGCCCAAGGACGTGGAGCATGGCATGGTGTGCCCGCTCGTAATAGGCCACCCTGTGTATATGTGTGTGCTTGCTTGGGTGTGAAAGTGCTGGCCAACACACTAAATCAAGGAGGAAAAATCCCCTAATTTACTCTTAGAGAACAAATACAGACATCAAGCAACATGATTGCTGTTGTCCTGCTTTCTTAAAAGCCTCCCTCGCAACTGTCAGAAACAAGGAGGGCAAAAACGTCCTCACATCAGCGCATACTCAAGCCGTCGAGCACCATCTGTCGCACACTTTCAAAGAACACAAAGGCTTTGCTGGAACCCATCAATATGACACTCCTTCTTTAAATAGCTTTCTGAGTGTTTTTTAACCAGTACAAGTAAGTCCTATGCATGCTAGATAGTTTCTACTGTTCATTAATCAATAGCAAGCTAACATCCCACATTTTTATGCTAGCATGCTAGTTGTAGAATGCAGGCGTTCTTAACTCAGACATGAAATCTCATAAGCACTGAAAATGATGACAAGTTCAAAAACTAATTCCCTGTAGTGGGGTCTAGCGACGTCGTTAGTAGCAGAAGTAGAAGCTGACTGTCTTGATTGCTAAAAACTATGAATTACACATTTTAACCTTTTTAGTACTAGCAACTGAAATTACTAAAGAAAGAAACAACTTCATTGCTCACGAATGATGGCTCTCGTTCCACTTTTAGGTAATGTAATTTTAGTTCTGATTGGTCACTAAATTAAACATCCCTCTCCCTTTACAAAATTACTAACTCATCAAATCTACACAATTCACATGAACTGAATGTTCGTCTTTTAAAACAGTGATGAATTTGCATGTTAACTGAAACTAGAATGCACAGTAGTGGAAGATTAATAAGAGGAAATGATACTTTCTTAATGGTTGCCTGATCAGCAGATAAAATAAAAAACAGCAGTGCTCAGGCCCACTTCATTACAATTAGAAGTGGGGTCATTTCAAGGATGCATCAGTGAGCATGACATCACTATAGCAACAATTGTAATGCAGCTATAATATGAGGTGCCATGTTCCATACAAACTCATATCCAAAGGAAGGTGCTGTCTCGGCACCCTGGCTTGAAAATGGTGAGAAAGGAAGGCATGAGGAACAATGAAAAAGTGATGAAAAAGAAATTAAATGTAAAACCAGTTAAATGAGTGCTCTACAGATGGTTTGGAGATGATTCAGATCATATACAGTGTACAACAAAAGTTTCAAACAGATTTGTGTCAGTGCAAGATATCTGAAAAGGGTCTAACTGCAGGATGATGTCATCATTTTACCAATCTATGGTAATCATGAAAGGAACGGATCAATAGTTGAGACTCTCTGCTGTCTCTTCAAAGAAAACCTTAATTAACTTCTATTTTGGTGCACTCAATTTAGTGACACTGCAGGTAAAATTACAAACTGTTGAAATGAGCTAGTCTTACCTGCCGTAGGCGAAGCGTCTGTCCTTGTGGTGATCTCCAAAAGTGTCCCAGAGTCTGAGGGACACACTGACATCATCCACCACGTCTCTGGAGCGCTCTAAGACCTGCGAGCAAACACACCTTTATGACAGTCTGACCCATTTTTTTTAATAGTAGTAATCAAGTAATTGACCAATTAGGGGTGCATCGATATGAGAATTGTGGCCCAATTCCAATATTTATTATGTATTATTTATTTATTATCTCCCGATGACGGTAAGAATACTGATACATAAACATTTATAGAAAGTGCTAATCCACCTGAATTAGCATTACACATGAATGTAGAGGGTTTTTAAATTTGTTTTTGACATTTATGTGAAAAGGGTTATAAATGCAACAATAATCTGCCTGGATTCACATTAGAAACATTCATATTTACATAGTTTTCTATAGGGTTAAAAAGCAGCAAAATAAAACATGTAGACTTTTTAGAACTGTAGCCCAGCATCGCCTAAACATTATGCAATAAATGTTAGCAAATCTCAGTCTGATTAATCAGTCAAGTCTAAACATCTGTCTGATGCTGTTATTTTTTTTACAGCAAATATCTTCCAATAGCGATATGATTCCAATATCAACCTGCATCACTATTACTGATTATTTTGATGATTAACCAGGTAACCGGAATACTTTAAAACATGATAAATAATAAAAATTGGACTTGAATAAAAACAAACAATGCATAGCCTTTCAAAATGGAAAAATGGTTTTGGAAAAAAAATAAACTCACACACAGAGACAAGATTTTTTTTTAAGTATTGAGCTAGACTGGTAATCCAAGTTTGGTTCTAGATTTTTCCTGTACTTCACAATCGATATAACATAATGAATTATTGGTTAGCCAAACCAGCTATTGGATGACAAGAACTAATAATACTGGGCTTCCTATAGGAGAGGTTTTAAGATGGTTAAATGAAAACACAAAACACTGACATACATAAAAATCATATATATCATATATAAAAATATATATATATAAAAAAAAATATATATATATAAATATATATATATATATGTATCAGGCTCTGTTTGCTACTGTAAGAGACCAGCAGGAACAATTAAATTTCAAAATATGCAAAATATCATTATGCTGATTGCTAACTAATAATTGCTGATTTACTGAGAATATCGAGTTTAATCAAATAGTCATGACAACCTTACATTATGGCCTATTCATATTTACACTGATTCATGGCTTTGTAGGCTAATCAGCTGAGTTTGATGAGCTTCACCTCTTGGCAGACTCTGTACTGATCGATGGCCCAGACGGTTGGGACGTGGGTGGCCAGTAGCTGGTATTGGGTCAAGGTGGTGTTGCAGGCTCGGGCACAAATAAGGCGTGTCTTCCCCACAGCATTGTCTCCAACGACCACACACTTGATTGTTTCTACGTTGGGCCTTTCGTAGTCCATACTACACTTCAGTACCCTACAGGGAGAATGGATTTGATGTTAGGCCACAATACATTGTGGGGCACATTGAGCAAAGAACAGATTTGATTTCAGGTTTCTATATACATGAGCCATAGAGAACACTGACCTTGGCTCTGGGTCAGTGAAACCTCAATGTAATACAGGACTTCATCTTTTCACACTCTTAAAATAGCTGCCCTGTATCTGGTTCTTGCTGAGCCTGACAGTTGAAAATGTCCCTTAGTTTCTGTATAGTAGTATGTTGACATTCAGGAACATGTTTGAAATTCACACCGTAAAAGGTAAAATCACAATTAGGATCTTTAGAATGAGAGTCTTTATTTGCCAAGTAGCAGATGTACAAGGAATTTCTTTTGGTGCCGGTGTCAAAATAAAATTAAATCAAATTAAAAAAAAGATATACTATATACATAAAATAGACAATACAAAAAACAAGCTATGAGTAATATAAAAGATGAGCAATGGTTAAGTACACTAATAAAGTAAAACCAATCAAATACTCTCAACTGTTTATTTCCACCTATGACATTTGTGTGCCTTGTACAATAAGTATTTAGTTCTTTTTTTTTTATACAACCATTATCCAACTTCTCTTCTTCCTTTAGAATTAAACACGCTGTATTTGTTGCTGTGCCTTTAAGTTTGATATATGTAAATAACCTCTGCTCTGATTGGCCACCTTGTATTGTGCCTCAATCAGAAAGCAGTGTGGGCAAAAAACACTCCTTATAACTTCAGTGTGAATGGGTGGGGCTAAACTTCTGTAGTCTGAATAGGATGAAATATGTACATGAGTTGGTTTTCACAACAGTGAAATGAAAAAATTCAAAGCAGTTTTTTTTACAGCTTAACTTCTCCATATATACCACATACACTGAGAAGGGAATGACGCTTTGAACTTTGAAACATCAAACTCTTTTATTTTAATGAAAAGAACCATTTTATTTAAATGTATTCACAGCCCACATCCATTTTGTCTAACATGTCCACTCATCAAAACTGCACTTACACCATATTAAACAGACTTATTAAGTCTAGACCAAAAGATTTTTATTGAGAATCATAGTAATAAAATGTGCACCATTGAAAGCGTCTCCATGTCTCTGTAAGACAAAATGAGTTAGGCAGGCAGACACAATTCATAACATGGTATAAAAAAACAAGCCGAACTACACGATGCATCCAAATAACCTTATTAGCAGGAGATTATTATCATACTGTCATTACTCATGGCATCACTGTAAGTGAACTAGATTGTTTATCTGATTACACAGCATGACATCACATTATTGATGTTGTCCTTTAATCACTCCAGTCATTACACAATACAGAGCAGACAGTGAGACAGTGAGAGAGACAGAGAGAGAGACAGAGAGGGAGAGAGAGAGAGAGAGAGAGAGAGAGAGAGAGAGAGAGAGAGAGAGAGAGGCAGACAGGGAGAGAGAGAGAGAGAGAGAGAGAGAGAAATGTATTGTTATGTCTTTGTAGCTTCTTTGTATTTAAATTTTTCAGCTGTTGTCTCACTGAGCCATCCGTCAATACTACATAAAAGATTCAAATAGTCCACATGAGCAAAGGATCTCACGGACGGACGTTATCTATGGAACCTTCCACGAGCTACCTTTGTGTCCACATGGACTTCCAAGAGGATATGCCATCTAGTCAATGCTATGGCGAAATCTGAACAAACCCACTGATAACGACAGGGGTGATGCAACTAAATGCCCAGCTCTACCCAGTGCAGCACAGCTTTAAGCGTTGACACATTACATTTAATATCAAATCAATTGGTTGCATCCTGGAATCTTGGCATGCATATTTTCTAACACAGTCAGAGTATGTAGTATTGCAAAGTTTTCATAATTTGAACTACAACAGACAACGGCAAACTGCACAGCAGCACACATAACTAATGCTCATATCCCAGATCCATAATAAATGCTTGAATGAACATGAATGGCGATCTAATGAGATCAGCATCCCCAGCTGATGTAACTATGGAGCGTCAGACTAAACTTAGTAACAGCAGTGTTGTAGGCTGTCACAATTTAGTTTTTGGTGTAGCAGCCTTGTAAATGAACATTCAGATGTTTTATATAAAGATACTGAAATGCAGCTAGTACCACTTACTGAACTGACAGCAATGATGCACTGGGAGCGCATACATACATCACACACTCGCGTAACTGCAGTAGTAAGCGCTGCAAGTGGTCTCGCTAAAAATCCACCTCACCGTTTCTTTGGGATTGTTTGTGTTTCTTCTTCTTGCTGCCAAGAACTGAAGAGACTTGCAAGCAGACCGGACGACAGCGGCTCTCTCCCTTTCTACTGCAAAAGAAAAAAATCCCTGAGCGCTAGCTGCACGGCAAACGCTGCACGGTCATTTCGTAATCGCTACAACGTCCCAGTTCGTCAAAAATGTTAATCCGGTTTGGCGAAGCTGGGGAAAGGGTCGGAGCAGCCTTCGTGCACTATGCTCTCTTCACCCATTCAAATGCTCTTTTGAGGCGTTGTTATGGTTGTTTTGTTCCCCACCCGTATTCCGACAAGCCCCGCTCTGCCTGGGTTAGGATTGGGTAGGAGTTCATAATCACTCGCCGGACTAGCCAATCCTATTGCAAGGAGGGCAGGACTTATTCGGAATAACCACTCTAGACTCATTAACCGCTTCGCGTTCCAGAACGGCGGGCTGGCCAATCGTAGAGCAGAGTGGGTGGGGCTTGTTCGGAATACAGGCGGAGAGACAAAAAATAAAAACACATGACGCCTCTGAGAGAATCGACGCGGCGTCCATTGTGACGTCACCGACCTCGCGTTCTATTAATAGCGCGCGCGGGTTCATTCAGGAAAGCAAGGCGCCTTGTCTCGACGAAAGCTGAACAGAACGGGGGAAGAGGTTCATTTTATAGGCTGCTTATTATCAATAAGTTATGTTTTACGTCTTGCCAGTCAACTTGGCGAGCGTGCCTGTGATTATAAAAGCGTTCTGCAAAATTCAGGACAGCATGGGCTTGCTGTCATAGCTCAGAATTGCTCGTAAGCTGGTAAACACTTCTGGCTCTCACAGTTTGTGGCCATTAATGCAGGTGTGCTGCTGACATTACATTCACATTTGCACTTAGTTCAGTTCAGATCAACTCAGTTTTATTTGTTAAAGGGGAACTCCACCAATTGTTTAAAAAATCGATATAATTAAATGTTTGAGATGTCATCCAGAGTGGTTTGGTGTGAAATGCTCTGTTGTAGAGAAACTTGACGAGTCAGAATTGTTCACAGTAATGGTGGTAGGAACCCGACGTCGGAAGAGTTCAAAGCCTCTGAAAGCTCCCCCACAGATGTCATTACACGAAATGGTTAGGTGGTTAGCCTGATGTATGACACAATGTTTGTGAATAAGTTTTGGCTTTAAATGTATTTATCAATTTGTAGTGAAGGGATACATGCAAGGTGCTGTGAGGCAAAGTAGTCCCCAGAGAAAACATATTTTTTCAGGTAATGACTACTTTACCATCATAGTCATTACATATAAATTCTCAGAAGAGACGTGTAGGTTCACTGGTGGTTTTGGATAGTAAATAAAATTATATTTTGTTGTTTGTTTGGCTATATTTGTGTTGTAGACATCATGACCCCTGTAAAGAAATCTGAGTCTGTAAGTTTTTCTGCAATGAACCATTTTACATCAAAGCACTATGAATGAGTCTGTTTACATTTCATGGACTGAATTATTCAGAAATTTTGAAAAAAATGTGCTGTTTCACAACAGACATTGTCGCAGTGCAGTTTTCCAGGCCCATAATAAGCATTGCAGACAAAATCTCCCTAAAGAGCATGAGCAAGAATCACAGAGATGAACCAAGACTCGAAAGGCAACCCTCTGGATAGGGATATTGTGTTATTAAAGGTCACACACACACACCAAAAACAGGCATAATTCGTTTTTACATGACCATTTTCCTGCCTTTTTTGAACTAAACAGGCTATTTTTGTTACTGTCCCTTAAAAAATGAATATGTAAATAAGCTCTCTTTTGATTGGCTGACCTGTACTGTGCCAAATTCAGAAAACATGTCTGTGTTAAAACACTCCTTATAACTTCTGCATGAATGGGCGGGGCTAAACTGCTGTATGCCGAATAGGTGGCTATATGTATGTACACTATATTGCCAAAAGTATTCGCTCGTCTGCTTTCACACGCATATGAACTTGAGTGACATCCCATTCTTAATCCACTGGGTTTAATATGATGTCAGCCCACCCTTTGCAGCTATAACAGCTTCAACTCTTCTGGGAAGGCTTTCCACAAGGTTTAGGAGTGTGTTTATGGAAATTTTTGACCATTCTTCCAGAAGTGCATTTGTGAGGTCAGACACTGATGTCAGACACTGATTGGACGAGAAGGCCTGGCTCGCAGTCTCCGCTCTAATTCATCCCAAAGGTGTTCTATTGGGTTGAGGTCAGGCCAGTCAAGTTCTTCCACACCAAACTCGCTCATCCATGTCTTTATGGACCTTGTGCACTGGTGCGCAGTCATGTTGGAACAGGAAGGGGCCATCCCCAAACTGTTCCCACAAAGTTGGGAGCATGAAATTGTCCAAAATCTCTAGGCATGCTGAAGCATTAAGAGTTCCTTTCACTGGAACTAAGGGGCTGAGCCCAACTCCTGAAAAACAACCCCACACCATAATCCCCCTTCACCAAACTTTACACTTGGCACAATACAGTCAGACAAGTATTGTTCTCCTGGCAACCGCCAAACCCAGACTCTTCCATCGGGTAGCCAGACGGAGAAGCGTGATTCGTCACTCCAGAGAACATGTTTCCACTGCTCTAGAGTCCAGTGGCGGCGCTTTACACCACTGCATTCAACGCTTTGCATGTAGCTGCTCATACATGGAAACCCATTCCATGAAGCTCTCTACGGACTGTTCTTGAGCTAATCTGAAGGCCACATGAAGTTTGGAGGTCTGTAGGGATTGACTCTGCAGAAAGTGTGTGACCTCTGCGCACTATGCCCCTCAGCATCCCCTGACCCCGCTCTGTCATTTTACATGGCCTACCGCTTCGTAGCTGTCGTGCCCAATCGCTTCCACTTTGTTATAATACCACTGACAGTTGACTGTGGAATATTTAGTAGCGAGGAAATTTCACGACTGGACTTGTTGCACAGGTGGCATCCTATCATGGTACCACGCTGGAATTCACTGAGCTCCTGAGAGCGACCCATTCTTTCACAAATGTTTGTAGAAGCAGTCTGCATGCCTAGGTGCTTGGTTTTATACACCTGTGGCCATGGAAGTGATTGGAACACCTGCATTCAATGATTTGGATGGGTGAGTGAATACTTTTGGCAATATAGTGTAGATGTGCATGTTTTCATGACATCACAAAAATAGTGAAAATGGGCTGTTTTTGCAGTTTAATTTCCATATAAGGACTAGAGAGTGAATGATATGTTTAGAAAAATTGAAGGGCCCATATCCTACATTTTTATTGTATTTTAGTTTGCGGAAAAAATAAAAACTATGGGCCCTTTAAGAACACTTCCTAGAATACAACATATCCACACACACACACAGCCATTCTCACACACACTCAAATCATTTCCAACATGCTATCTGACCCTGCTGTTTGATTTTAATCCAAACGAGCAGATTATAGACTCATTTCCGATATTATCTTCTACCTATGCAAGCCAAGCAAAGGGCTGAGGCTGCAAGCCTTTCCGATTTAGCTCCCTCCCCCCGCCACCCCTCTGCATCAATTCAATACGTCATCAAATTCATCCCAGAAAATGAATACAGCTGCAGGGACAAGACAGCGCACTCCAGCTCCACAAGCTCACTGGGATTCTCAATGTCTGCTCGCCAGTTTTGCGCGGCACGGCTGGAATTATGAATGAAGGCAAGTCGGTGGAGCTCGAAGCCCCTGGAGATTCACTTCAAGGGCCCTCTGATGCCCAGAAGCCGTGCGGGCCCTGTGAATCATGAATGAAAGGCGCAGCGGAGTTATATTTATAACTTGGGCTTGAGCTCTTTGTTTGTCAAGTTGAAGCCGTAGCTGTTTGGAGTGTGTGGCTGTGTCCCGTAAACAGGATTACCAAGCCTCTTGACCTGGCGAGGTTGAAACTGCCTTCAGCCTGATGTATATAAGAGCATGCAGGAAGGTGAAAAGAGGATGCAGATATAAGGGATTTTAAGGGCTGCAGGCTGATGGAAAAGATGAGTAGTTGAATATGGTCCTTGTGAACTTCCAGTAGCATACAATGCCCTGGAGAATGGGTCATTACAACCCATACATGGAAATTTACAAGGTCGTTTGCAAAACCTAAAAATATGTGTGCTATGTGATAAACAATGATTACCAATCAATATAACAGTATACTATGTAAATCCTTTGGTTATCATCATTTCCTAACAGAAATGTCATCAAATGTGGAAATACACATGTTAGCAGGTCCCTAACATTATATTATGATGTCCATAGGGTCGCAATAGTAATAGCAAATTAGCATTATCTTAGCTGTGGTAATTAACTATTAACTAATTGTGATTTATCACAACTAATTATTAAAATATATTACTTAGGTAGAGAAAAAAAGTAGGTGTCATCAACAAGCAGGTTTAGTGGACCCCTCAATACAAAAAAATCCAAGATAAAGCCAAATTATGCCACTATGTTCCTTATAGCATGAGATTTTCATAGCGTACAGTGTAATTACAAATGCATTAAAAATGCCCAACATAAAACTCTTCCTTTTCTAAGACAGTATACAGTATTTTTACACTGAAAAATAGAAAATATGAGAATTATTTTTCAACAGGACACAAAGGCGTACTGCATTTAAAAAAGAAAATGCTAAGCTAGCTAAAAGCTGAGCTAGCAATAACTGCAGATGCTCAAACTATGACGTATCTTCAACTTAGCACACTAGCTGCATTCATCTGCTACGTGACAGTCAGATGTTGATCCTAAAGTCAATCAAGATAACAAGCAGTGGAGATACTGTGAATCCTCCTAAGCCTTTAAAGCTCTTGATGTTGCTGACAGGCCTGGCAGGTGAGTGTGCTAATCACCCATTAGCCTGTGGCATAGTTAGACTTCACCCTGAGCTTCTGAGGTCAGGAAAAACAAGGATCATATTAAAAGAGATATTTTTTGCTATCGTTGGACGTAACACTGACGTGCATGGTGTAGCCAGTGCACATGGTCCTATTGGATTATTGTAACCTTACTGTCTTATTGCATTCAATTATTGTCCCATAAGGGTGCATTTTGAATTTGGGGGAATATCTGAGAATTCTGAATGCAACTGATCTAATCGTTTTTGTTCATTAGGTGCCTAGAGATCACCAGATCATTTCTTTAAAAGTTTATATTCATCCCCTCTAGGACCCATATCCTACCTTTTTCTTGTATTTTATTACCCCGTCTGCCAAGGTCCACTTATAATCTTTGTGTGGGTTTATGTACCAAAAAAAC